GAGAGAGGGGAAAGAGCGGGGGGAGAGAGGGGAAAGAGCGGGGGGAGAGAGGGGAAAGAGCGGGGGGAGAGAGGGGAGACTGAGCCAGAGGTTCTTACCATTATTTGCCACAACCAGTCTTCTCACTGGAGACTCCGCCTCAAGTTCCCATGTGTCTGTGTACCCTAAGCGTACCCACACAGCTGGGTACGCTTAGAGAAAGTGCAGCAACAGCACAATTACAATTAGAACAAAAAGCTGAGGGCGGGCGGAATTAACTGTTAACGCCCACTAAGAGGAAAGGAGCTAGAGGCAGGGCTGTCGTTCTCTGAGATTTTAAATGATTTTATCAACACTGTGCTGCGACTTTGAAAATCTGGAATACTGCTAATGGAGTAAAAGGTAAGGAGTGTGTTTATTTGCCCTTAGGTCATAATTTTAATATCCTTTAATATCCAAATTCCGCTATAAAATATAACATACAGTAGATACTTTTACAAAGGTAGACCCTAAAGAACACCAAGGCCACATTAACAAGAAAAGGTATGTTTGTGGTTCTATAACAGTGTAAAAAAGAAATTAAAAAGTCAGCCTTCCTTTCTTTGAGGTAGGGTCAAGCAAGGGAACCCTGCATGTCAAAATACTGCAGAAAATCTGAAACATGCTGAAGCTCTGTCATTTTTATGGAACGCTCAGTGGCCCCAAACCAGTTAAAATGTTCTATGCTAGCAGATTAAATAAGGGACAGTTTGGCAATTATGTGAAAAATAAGAAAGAAAGAAAATGGCAACATGAAAGCAGAGGCCGAAGCCTGAATAAAGAGGCAGTGTGCATTACTGTCAAGCCACGGAAGAATATTACAAACACCTAGTAAAGCAGATGAAGTAAAAACACATGTATATTAAATGTCCCTTTTATTGCATTAAAAATACCCTGCATGCCTTTCCAAGCCAAGGTGTTTAGCATGACATATATAAAGCACAGCCTGATCATTTTTCCAGGTGCCATAAAACTAGAAACATGAAAGGGAACAGTATGAAAAGCAATACAGAAACAAAAATGGACTGACTGCTTAAACCAGCATGAGGTGCATTCTACTGAACTCATGTGACTTGAGGCTTGTCAATATGTACAAGTCACAATTAAATGTCTCACAATTAGTTTGCCAATTATCAATGTACTATAAATTTGTAGCCTCACTTTAGCAAGAGTCACTTTGTGATTTTTTTTTTTTTTTTTAAGAAAGCATTGTGGCAAGAGTCACTTTATGTCACAAGTTTCTAGTGAACTGATAGGATGAATATTAATGAATTCCACAACATGCCTGCTTCCTCTGTCTATAAATTACATATTTGTTTTACATTTCCAACTTGTCTAGGACTGCTTCATGTACTGGGACAGGAGGGCCCCTTCCACAG